GCAGATAGTGTAGAACCTTCGGGCGGACTACTTAAAATAGGCACTCAAAAGGTGCACGTGTGGCTTGATGTACTATCATTGTAATTACATATAAAACTTCGTCTATACTCTAATAAAAAGTTTCCCAGACCAAAAAGGTCACTTTAATACCAAAAAAAAAAATAATTATATAATACTATACTAAATTTATTTTTATTTAGCATTTTAAAAAAGAAACTGACTATATTGAAGGTCATTTATATCCTACACTTATATTTAGTGTTCCAGTTTATAATTATTTGATAAATAGATTGAAAAAAATAATTGATAGTAAAAAAACAGATCTAATTATAAAAAATGCAGCAAATGCAGCAAAATCAAAAATTCTTAAATATTATCCATTTACTGATGGATATGTATATACAGTTGCTACTGGTAAGATTAAATTTAAATTTAAATTATTATTAAATAAATATTTTATATTAATTAATTTTTATTTAGTTTTGGATCCTAGATTAAAAATAGAATATTATATAGATAATAAATGAGAAACTAAATATATTATAGCAGCTAAAGAAATTATTACAAATATTTGGAATGAAAATTATAAAGATAAAAACTTATCAACAACAAAAAAGAAGTAATGATAATGATGATGATAATAATGATGATGATAATGATGATGATGATGATGATGAAGATGATGATGAAGATGATCATGATGAGGATGATAATATTTTTTCACATATGTATAAAAAAAGAAAAGTTAGCAGTAAAAAAGATGAACTTGAATGTTATCTTAATGAATCTATTATTGAAGATCAAGATATAGATGTTCTCTTATAGTGGAAGGTACTATATACTTTATTATATTAATTTTATATTTTATATTAAAATTATATTTATATTAAATTTTATTAAATAGGGTAATACAATGAGATTTCCAAATTTAGCTAAAATGGCTCAAGACTATTTAGCTATTCCAGGTAAATTAAAATTTAATAATAATATTTATTATAATTTAATTTTAAATTTATTTTATTTTTAGCAACAAGTGCTTCAATTGAGAGAGTATTTTCTGGTAGAACAGATTTAGTTATATCTAAAAGAAGTAGTTTGAAAAGTGATACTATTAACATACTTATGTGCCTTAAAAGTTGGTGGAATTCAGATATATATAAAACATAAACAATTTAAATTACAATTAATATTAAAATTTATTATTAATTGAATAAATATTATATATAAATATATTATAATATACAAAATGTTATTTGTTATAATTGCTTAAAAAGTAATATAGTTTGCTTTAACTATAACTAGTGGATTTCATTAAATATTCTTCATATTACAAGTTTATAATTAATAAACCAAGCAAGTTACTTGTTACTCACAAATGAAAATAGTTCATACTCATTTATTATTTCAGCGAACATGATTACATTTATATAGTAAAATCAATTTCTCACAATCCAACTTACCAAACTTCTATAAACTATTTAAAGTACAAAGTAAATATTATAATAAATTTGTATGCTAGTTTGATATAACAACTATTTTTTTAAATATCTATTTAATCATGAAAGACAATTACTGTAGCATTTAGATTGGCTTTGTATTTCCTGATGAAAAAAAATAGATTCAATTTCAAAACTTTTAATGATTAATCATCATACTTATGCTAAAAACCAATTCCTGATGAAAAAAAAAATACACATAAGTAAGATTCAAATACTCTATAAGGTTCAGACCTTTCAATAAATAATAATCATACTCACACTAAAAACTAAATCCCGATGAAAAAAAAATACATATATAAGTAAGATTCAAATACTCTATAAGTTTCAAAACTTTTAATTAATAACCATTATACTCACAATAAAACCAATTCCCGATGAAAAAAAAAATACATATATAAGTAAGATTCAAATACTCTATAAGGTTCAAAACTTTCAACAAATAATTATCACACTCACGCTAAAAACTAATTCCCAATGAAAAAAATATATATATATAAGTAAGATTCAAATATCTATAAGGTTCAGACCTTTTAATGAATAATAATCATATTCACGCTAAAACCAATTCCCAATAAAAAAAAATACACATAAGTAAGATTCAAATACTCTATAAGGTTCAGACCTTTCAATGAATAATAATTATACTCACGCTAAAAACTAAATCCCGATAAAAAAAAAAATACATATATAAGTAAGGTTCAAATATCTATAAGGTTCAGACCTTTTAACAAATAATAATCATACTCACGCTAAAACCAATTCCTGATGAAAAAAAAATACATATTTAAGTAAGAATCAAATATTCTATAAGGTTCAAACCTTTCAATGAATAATAATCATACTCATGCTAAAAACTAATTCCCGATAAAAAAAAAAAAATACATATATAAGTAAGATTCAAATACTTTATAAGTTTTAAAACTTTCAATTAATAACTATTATGCTCGCGATAAACTTAAATCTGATAAAAAAAATACATATATAAGTAAGATTCAAATATTCTATAAGATTCAAAACTTTCAATGAATAATTATCATACTCATAATTCCCGATGAAAAAAAAATACATATATAAGTAAGATTCAAATACTCTATAAGTTTCAGAACTTTCAACAAATAATCATCATAC